CTCTGTCAGTTAAGCTCTACATAATACTAAATGACAGCCATACTTTGATAGTTCCAAATATAAACTGTGTGTTTTCCCCCTATATACATGGAAAATATACTTAGATCTGGTTTATACACATTGTGAATAAGTCAGCTGAAGTTGTCTTTGTGAGAAGTTGCTAAAAGAAGGTCAGAGAGGTACATAGCATAAATGCATACAATTGTTAAATGCATACTCTTTGTGTTTTATTACAGAGTCCAGATGGAAAATACTTAGCCAGTGGAGCGATAGATGGCATTATCAATATTTTTGATATTGCAACTGGAAAACTTCTGCATACGCTGGAAGGTAAGGGTCTGTGTGTTTGCAGTACCCCAGTTCTGGCCTCATTCCTTAACAAAATTAGAGGATACAACCCAACTTACAATAAGATAAACCAGCCATGGCATAAATGAGTTGGTGTTTCTGTCCGTTAGAAAGTATGTATTCAGTGTGCTGTAACTTAAACCACTTAAAATGTGAGAGGCAAACTGTAAACTCAGGCTTGCATTGTATGTGTCTATCTGAAACAACATAGTTATGCTTAACTAAATTCTTAAATTGCAGTTCCTTCTTGTATTGCAGTGCAGTACAAGGGGATGAAGGTAGCCAAAATGTGTGCTGGCATCCGTGACAGTTTTCTTTCTGCTATGGTATAAATTCTATAGCACTTTATCCCTGTTTTAAAAAGTAACCAAACATTTTATATTGTAGAAGATGTGCATTTTCCCATCAGATAAATGGCTTTTTAATGTTCATCCAGTTTCTGTCCAGCTGTATAGTTAATTAAAAACCCTAACCACTCAAGAAATATGAAATTATACAACATAATTTCTAATAAGGATCTGCAGCTGAAGAAAATCAGATACTCTTGTGTTGCAGTGGACGTGCCTTAACATTCAGAGTTCAGAATTACTCTGTTTCCATTTTATGTTGTGCTGAGAAGCCTGTAGAGGCACGGAGAGAAAGGCTCTTTAGAGGTTGCTTTCTTTTACCAGGAAATGCTGGTCTGGTGTAGCTTCTTAAGCACTGTCATTACCAAGAGGAATAGCTACATTCTAAGCCATGTCTAACGTTGAATTGCAGGTCATGCGATGCCTATTCGTTCACTGACGTTTTCTCCAGATTCTCAGTTACTTGTAACTGCTTCAGATGATGGCTATATCAAAATCTACGATGTGTAAGTTGTGCTTTAGCAAAAACATGAACAGGAAACTTAGTTAGTTTGCAAAACTAACAGGAGAATGGTCAGAGAGGCTGATACCGTAACAAAAAAATACATCAAACCCTCTGCTCTGTAATTCACTTAAATAATGAAAGACTGCACCCTTAGATAGTTTTGAGAAGTGTAAAGGTGAATGGCAGTCCTAACTTGAAAACAAATTACTTTCCTCATACTTGCCCTGAAAGCAACAGGGTTTTGTGTACCTGTCCTGTGTGTTAACTCACCTTAAAGACATGCTCTGTACCCCCAAAATGATGTTTTATGACCTATTCCTTTTCTGGAGAGGAAAAGGCACTGCTTCAGTGATCTTAACTTCCCTAAACCTGCATTACTTTGCCGCCTTCATGGTGAAACTGTTTTGTCTCCCAGTGTATCTTCTTGATGACTTTTTATGCTAACCATTTGAAATGGGAAAACTGGAATCTGTTGTAACACGAGTTCAGCCTGGACGAACAGATATCCAAAAGCCACCTTTCCATGACCTTGTGTTGAACCATTCCTGACTGCACTATATACAGCATACTCCTGTTGCCTTTTTTCCCTGAAATTCACAGACCAAGTATTAAAACTTGTTCTTTCCACAGGCAACATGCAAACCTGGCTGGCACATTAAGTGGTCATGGATCCTGGGTATTAAATGTAGCATTTTGTCCTGATGACACCCATTTTGTTTCCAGGTATTGAAGATTTTTAACTTGATTACTGAAAAAAAACAAGTAATTTTGTATTTATAAAGGGGGATGGATCACAAAAAGTAGATGTGTACAGACTGCAGTGGAACAATGACAGACTCAAGAGCCAATCATCTGCGATGTGATACCAGTTGTAAGTGAATAGCATTTATAGTGTGAGTCATCGTACTGCAGCGTAGTTCCCTATAAGTGAAAAACATCTAAACCTAAGAGAAGGGCAAGTTGATTCTAAATAGCTGAAAATTTGTAGTTGAATTAAAAAGTACAAGCTAACGTAGTGGTACATTCATCTAGCTGAGCTTTAGTGCTGCTTCTTAAAACAGCTCAGGCAGCTGGGGGACCAGATGCGTGCAGCAGGACCTTCTTTACCCAAAGAACTTGCTTCAGAGAAGTTTCTGGGTAAAACGGGGGTCCTCATTTTCATGCTGCAGATACGGAAACAGTGAATGTATTTTAAAGGTCACTGGAGCCTGGTGGGAGATACTACTTTGTCCCTGTATTTGATGGGTGAAAGACGGTTTCTTAGGTCTCGCATATAAAATCTTTTAAGCTCTGCACTGAACTAAGTTAACCTACTAATTTAAACATTCATCACTACTCCTTTTCCTTCAGTTCATCTGATAAAAGCGTTAAAGTTTGGGATGCTGGAACGAGAACCTGTGTTCATACGTTCTTTGACCACCAAGATCAGGTATGTCTATTCTTCATTGAGGCCACTGTTCACAGACCTTCAGTTGTGTTGTGCCTGTTTGTGTTTCAGCTTGGTGCTATAGCTTTGGGGTTGGACATCAGCTTGCTGTAATGAAATCTTAAAGGTTGTTAATGATTATTTGGCACTCAATATTGAACTATTACTCCAAGCATGTAGGTTGAGCTCTTCCAAGTAATAATTACATTTTCCAGGTCTAAATAAGGGCAATCCTGTGTGGCCAAAAGGCTTCTAACCAGACTATTTTTTATCTTTGTCTATGGTCTTGCTTATTTCTATCATTTACAAGGTGTGTGCATGTGGAAGCGCGAAGAATACTTATTTAAAAGGATGGGATTATTACAAAAGATGCTTGAAAGCACCCTTGGAACTTTTTTCCTTCTCCAGTGACTAACACCCTGTTTTTTTTTGCTCAGTCATCACTACCCATGAGGGAAGAGGAGGTTTGGCATCTACCGAGTTACTGTCTTCCCAATTGTTAGGTGTTAGAACAACACTGGTTTTTAATGGATTATGGAGAAAGACTTCACCAAGGAAATTCTGTCAGATTTTATTTGGGGTCTTTTCTTCCATAGTACCTTCTTTTATCTGCAACTATGGGGGTTTTAGTATTGAAGGACCAAGCAGAACTGGGTCTGCAGCGTTGCTTTAGTTGTTGTCTACAACCTGGCAAGTTTGTGGAAGGCAGAGATGATACCAGCTCTTGGGAAGGCTGGTTTTAGGTATTAATGCAAAATGGCATATGAGATGCCTAAAACATGGTGTTCTCAACATTCCCACTCCAGTGCCATGTTAACAGGAGTGTGTGTAACTGGTCTAAATCAAGTATGACCTGAATTAGTCTAATTTTGCACTGGTAAGTAAATGACTCTTAAGTAGGCCAGGGAAAAACCGGATCACTCTGCTACAATGTGTCAGTCTGCATGAAAAATATTTCCTCTCTTGCCTTTGTCCAAGTCCTGTAAAATGCTCATTTCAGAAAGGAAGACAGGACGGGTAACAGTGAGGACGTTAAGTGTGATTTCTGCAAACTTTCCAGCCTTGTTCAAGTACCTTTAGACTGTGTAATCTGCTGGCAGTAGGAGTGGAATGTTGGAACTTGTCAGGCTACTAGATGGCAGTCCTCTGGTTCATCATCCCTATCTGCTGTGAAAGCAGAAGCCATACTTGCACCAGCTCTAACAAGGTGGCCTTAAATAATAGTCCCTGTTCTGGTTGTTGTCATCAGTAAATCTGGCTGCTATGAAGACAATTTCCCTTAATCTCCTGTCAATTAACTTTGTCTATGTCCTATTTATAGGTTTGGGGAGTGAAATACAATGGAAGTGGGTCCAAAATTGTGTCTGTTGGAGATGACCAAGAAATTCATATTTATGACTGTCCTGTTTAAATGTCTTCACTCATTCCCTCTGGTTAACTCTTGTGGCAGTTTGGAATACTACTGTCCCATGTCCTTTTTATAGTACAATAAAAGCATTTTCATATTGCTGATGTGCAGAAGCTCAGCTCTGTTTTGTATGTAATTTTAGTTTTGGCAGGAGAGAAAGCTTTACTTTTTGAAAAGTAAAAGCTACAGCTGCAAGTAACTTGGAAAAATGTATTTTTGGAACTCAGGAGTCATGGGTGAAGTTACTGCTCAGCTAATCACTCCTGCTTCCAGACATAAATAACTAGAGCTGGAAAGTGGTGACTGAGGCTCACAGCAGCTTACTTTAGCAGAGGTTGTATGCATGGAGGATGACAGCCTGCACTCAATAGGGTCACTTAAGCTCAGCACCTGTTGCAGCAGGTGGGGAGACATAGCTCATGCATCATGGTTTAATTTCACTAAGAGGGACTGTTGTTCCCAACTTGACTAGAAACCAGATAAAAGCAGAAGAAAGCTTTCGCTCATTTCTACAACGGTATCTTATTACATTATCAAAGAGCAGCTGTGTACTGCACTGGTCAGGCTGAAATCAATGTGGTTTCAATTTATTCATCCTAGTGAAGGCTCAAGTAGATAATGGCTAGCAGAAGTAAAAACACTTTTCTAGGAAAGGCTGAAACATAAAGCTTAGCTTCTGAAAGATCAAACTTTTATTTGCAAGTATTTTTGCCTGTATGTCAATTAGAATTATGGGGAGTACACTCTATACACAGGCTGGCATCTTATGACCCCATGTTACATACAGCTAAGCAGCTGCAGGAATGTTACTGAGTCAATAGAAGAAAACAGGGAAGAGGGACAAAATGCTTCCGAAACACAAAATAAGACAGCTACTAGAGTTGACTATGGCGAACAATCTGGACTAGGTGATGAGAGTCTGAGTGAAGATTCTCAAATGGCCCAGAAAGTACCAGACAAGCACAATAAAATGTGAAGAGTTCTATTTATTAGAAGTTATTTCTGCTATGTTTTATCCTATGAAATTAATTTTCCAGTATGAAAGTATTTACATAAGACACTCCACTTAGCCTATCAATATTGCCCAAGTCTTATATAAATAGCATAGGTGAAATAAAGTGAGAACCTTCACAGCAAAGGAAAATGTATACCAACTCAGTTGGTTCTCAGCTGTGTGACATTTGCATTATATAAAGACTACAAGAACACAATATAAATTAGTTACAAAAAGGTGATACTGACAGCGCAGCAACTCAATTTGCTGAACACAAAAACCACAAGCAGTGGCTATTACAGCCATGCAGTTTTCATTGTGAAAATTTACATTTTAGATGACATCCATTTCACCTTGCTTTAAGATGTCTGACATTGTACTCCTGTTCTTGGACCCTCCTCATCTTCTTCATACGCCTCTCCCCCACTGTTACGGTAGGTTTGCTGACTTGGATCAAAATCTTCAAGGTCTACCTGATCCATCTCATCTGTAATCATAACATCTTCTCGGGGAGGAAGCAGGGCCTCCAGCAGACTCAGTTTCTCCCTTGGAAGCCAGTAGTGCTCTGGGAACTGGACCTAAAATTTCATATGGGTTTTTTAATGAATAGTTATTCCTTCTGACAACACAGCCACCTTTGCTAAAGAAAAGCAGTCAACTTACCAGAAATTGTATAATTAAGCTGCCTTTGTCCATTGGAGATTTGTAGACAGGCATCCCTTCATTGTAGATACACTTTAGGTCACCATGTTTTATCACTTCACCTGCAAAGAGATAACAGCTTTAAATAAGCTTATGAAGGAAGTGTCCATCACATAACCATGAAAAGCAGGGTTAGGCACAAGCAGTGTTCCCACAGCATCAAGGGAGACTACTAACAACTAACTCACAGAAAAGGCTGAGGACTGAGGGGTCCTACAACCAGACTATACAGGCCATTTCCTCTACTGGAAGAGGCTCAGCTTCTCTTAGCACAGCCTTCATGCTGAATTCACACATAATCCAGTAGCTTTTAAGTTCCCACCCTCTTAAGTATTTTCCTGGCTCTCTTCCAACTGAGACCAAAGTTTGTTAAGAAGCCTTTGACAGCTTCAGCTGCAACTGCATCTAATGTTTTAGAATGAGTGACAAGAATAAAAAACCACCAGCTAAATACAGTGACTGCAAGTGTAGTTTGAATCCATTGCATCAACTGGTTAAAACACCCCAAAAAAACCCCACAAAGCCTACCACAAACACCCAAAAAAACCCCAGTCAACAAGCCCAGGCCCAATCAAGCAGGCAAGCAGTTCATATAGCACCAGAACTCTTGTAAGACCCACCTGGCCTAGATGATATAACAAGAACTCTGTTATCCAGAGTTTCTATGGTCTTTCTGAAACCACACAAAGCTTCCGAGAGTTGAATTCTCATTTTTGTGATCAAGTCATGCCCTCGCCTCTGAAAGACACTATGATCCTTTTGATCAAGCACGATTATAACATCACCAGGCTCCAGATCAGGCTCTTGGTCACCTTCTCCATGGAATACTATCTTCTGACCATCTTTCATACCTGGAGAAAAACAAAGCCATTTATTCTCTGCAGCACTGTAGACCACAATTAAGGACACAGAACAAACAGACAGTCCTTACCTTTATCAACATGAACTTCTATGATCTTTTTCTCTCTTACAACCTTACACCCATTGCAGTTGTCACACCTGTCCTTTGGATTTATCCTTTCACCTTGGCCTTTGCATTCTGGACACACAGTTTGAATTTGTTGTACCATTCCAGGTCCTATCTGCTGAACTATAACTTGCATTCCTCTTCCTTTACACACAGGGCACTTCTCCACTGCCCCTCTCTTTCCGCCATAACCTGTGACAAAAAGGTTAAATCTGATCCCAGTCTCCAAAAATGAGAAGTTACTCTACTGCAGTCAGGCTGAAACTCATTGACTTCAAGAGCAGCTTTTGGGCAACTTGAGAGTCATTCAGTAATGTGCTTCCAATGAAACTGGAATTTAGTTTCCACCACAAAACATGCCCCACAAGTTAAAAGTTTCTACCAGCAAAAGAAAGTCAATCTATCTATGCACAGCTTGCTCGATGAGCCTCTGCCCCACCTCCAAATACAGCACAGATTTCAAGGAATTATCATCCCAACTTCAACACCTACATTCCATTAATACTTCCAAAAGAATCTGCTGGCTAAACATTTAATAGAGTGCTAAGGTACAGGACCTCATTAAAGTTTACCTCAAACAATCCAGTCATTATGGATATTTAGTAGTGGTAAAAATGGTTGCGTAATACAAGCTAGACTGCTGCCCACAGCAATTAAAAAATATTAACAAAACAGCCATTTAATAAAGTTCCAGATTAAGGTACTTATAACTTGGGTACCCTTAACTGGAATTCACAGTGAGCTTAAGTCTGCCATTAGAACTTTAAGTTTATATCACTAAGTCATTCTTGGATAAGCATAAATGAGAGCATAAATGGAGACTTTCAGAGGGGGATGAAGGAGAGGGAAAAGCAGAACACCCACTCTTCATTCTTAGTCCCACTCAAGAAAAAAAGGACTAAGACTGTAGTAAGAGGGATGTGAAGCCATTACTTGTTTTTACCTTCACACTTGGCACAAATAACGTTCTTCTGCAGTGCCAGCTTCCTTGTAATACCATTGTACAAGTCTTCAAGAGATACACCTAACTGGTGTACAACATTCTTGCCTTTAGAAGAAAAAGGGAGAGATTAATCCTGGTTCAGCTCTTATAAGGACCAATGTTTATTTAAAGGCTTCTACACTTGTCCACACATGCACAGTCTCACTGAAAAAAAAGTTCTTTCCAAACTTTGAACACAGCTCAGCCCCCTTAAAAGCACGTGCGGTTTCATCAGCTTCCACTGTGCTGCACCCACTTAATAACATAAAAGAACATAAAAGTTCATCTGTAATTAAGCAAAGCATCATTAAAGCCACTCTATCCCTGCTCCTACCCCTAATTTCATAGGCTTAACTGAAACAGCAAAGTGCAAGGACACTACCAGCTTCACATCTGGTCAATTCAGAAGCTGCTGCTTTGCCTACCTATAAATTTCCATGCCGCTTCATAGCGTAATTTAAAAGGCTTCACAGCAAGTTACTACTTGCTCCTTCAACAGACACTGGACATGGAAACAGACAAAAATCATACTGTGCTTTTAGCAGCATTGTACTGAGTTTCACATAATTTCTCCCAAATAATTTCATGAAATTTACAGCATGATTTAAGTTGATGGTGTCCTTTGAAGCAAATTGCTCAAAGCATATGAGCAAGTGAGCCACAGAGATCTGGAAAAGAAGTAACTTAAACCAGGTCTAATTCATCTGCTCTAAACCTAACAATGCTTCCCCCTCCCCTAGAGATTACCCACACCCACTTTAACAAAAAAATAACAGAAGGCATCAAAGATTACTATGGCTACATCAGGTTATCTGCTTTATTAGAATCTTAATGCTAGAGTAACTACAGAAATCATGGTTTATTTAATCTATTGTTGCAATGAGTAATAAGCACACTGTGTGCACTTAGTAGAACAGCAGTACCATAGCACAGGTATCTTATGCTTAAGTGCATGGTTAGTTTCTAGAACTTGTTTAGAACTGTGTACCTCTTCTCTCTCTATTCATTCGGCCTCCACCACCAAAGAACATGTCAAAGATGTCCATGGGTGAAGAGAAGCTGCCGCCACTCAGGCCTCCTTCTTTAATAGCCTGCTCCCCACCCTGGTCATAGAGGTCCCTTTTCTTTGGGTCCGACAGAACTTCATATGCCTGGGATATGAGTTTAAACTAAAAAGAAAAAAGAAGCTCTGAACAACTATGACCAAGAGGAAAAGTTACCCTCTCATATGTAACTCCATCTTCAGACTGAGCCACTGCAGCACTCTTTTAGCATTTGTCTTTTTCAAAAGGGAAACTCCCTACACAAATGTGTAACAGACCGTAATAGCACACTTTTGTCCAGCAAAACCACCCCTTTTCTCCCTCTCCCCCCTCCTCCCCTGTTATACACGGGGTTAAATTCAGAGTCACACCTCCAGTTTACAGGCATATGCAAGCAAGAATTTGACGATTGTGATACTTGCAATCATTATGCACTTCTAACAAATTCCACTTAGAAAAGGCCATACTATCCCCAAAGTCTTAGGGGTCCCCCGATGCTCACAGCCACAGCAGTGCTAGTCATTCTAAAGGTACACAGGGGTCCTTCATGCCTGCTGAGCTGCTACATCCAGCTACAACTAAACACAAATTTAAGTGACCAGACAGATGCTTACTCATCACAAGTAGAAGGACTCAGATACAGATCAAAATATCCAGTTTTGAAGAAATATTAAGAGATTTTCTTAAACAGCTATGAATAACTGCCTATTACTAAGATAACTAGAAGGATTTTTAAGCACAATTTGCCATTATTGAAATGGGTACTTCCATTTTGAACACAATTTACTCATGACCAGGTAAAGATGTACAAATAAAAAACCAGGCCAAAGGCAGAAAAGGTCACCTTTGACTATGTTACTATTTAACAACCTGGAGTTTTGTTGATTACTATACTAGATACACATACACAGAGCTTCTATTCCAATGCTAAAGTACTGTTAGGCCAGCTTTTAGACGAATATTCCTATTTTTCAAGCTTTCCATCATTCTCAATTATGGTGCTCATTTATCCTCCCAGGAAATAGAGTTGAGGGGATCTCTGCTAATAATGCATGAATTGGCTTTGTTGCAAGTAGTCCACCCATGTGCAGGTCAATAATCTCCTTGAATAGTTACCTTGTACATCTGCATTAGCACTTCCCCTGAAGGAAGTTCATCCTGTTGAGGACAGATCCCTCCAGCACAACCCCAGCACACACAGGAGTGCTGGCACCTGGATCCACCTTTGCAGCACTTGACAGCACAACGGCCATCAACACACTAGAAACCTTTCCAGCTTTGCCTGTTTTAAGCAGCATCTCTGTAAGAACGAGCTCCTGTTAGCAACTATGAAGAATGATAGGAGCTGCATCTCGAAAGAGGAACTGAAGCGTCCGCCCCTGACACAGCCAGGCCATGAGGCCTGCTGCCACCTACAGATACCTTCTCCAAGCTCTGCTGAATGGAAACGTTCATTTAATGGCAACACGCTGCAGGAAGAGCATTATATCGGCAAAGCAGAGCTCTACAATCAAGTCAAGGGCGTACATTGCACCGCTCTCCAATAAGAACGGCCGGCCCGCAGCACATCCGCGGTGACCCGCACACCCCCTGCGCCAGACCCTGCGGAATTCCCCATCGCAAGGCCCGGCCGGCGCATGCGGGGCCTAGATCTGAGCTCGGCCCCAAAGAGCCGCAATGGCCTGCCCGAGGGGGGCGTGCGGCAGGTGCTGCCAGCCCACAGCCCCGGCTCCCGCGTACCCGTTCGCCCTCGCTGGGGTTCTTGTCGGGGTGGTACTTCAGTGCTAGCTTGCGATAGGCGCGCTTGATCTCCTCGGAAGAAGCATTAGGCTTCACCTGCAGGATATCGTAGTACTCCGTCTCCTTCACCATGGTGCCCTGCGGGAGGACACACCGCGTTATGTCGCGTTACCGCCACCCCACGGCCTCCCCCCACCCCGCCGCACCGAGGCCGCGCGGGCCGCGCTCACCGCCGCAGCCGCCCGTGTCGCCTCCGGTGTCCGCTCGGCCTCGCCCCGCCTCTTCCTCGGGTTTTATACGGGCAGCGGCCGAATCTTCTGGAATGACGCCGCCCTACGTCACGGGCCTGGAACGGTCTAGAACTCCCGCGCGTGACGTCACCGCCGGTGCGCGCACGGGGCGGGGCCTGGCTGCGCTGAGGCGGGAAGGGGCGGAGCGCGCTTCCCGCCCGCCTCCTAAGGGAACAGGCGGTTTGTTCCCGTCAGGTACCGCGCGGTTCGGTGTGCGCTGGGGCCGCGGTCCGCTTGAGGGTTGTTTTGCCTCCGTCTTGTTCTGGGAGGTGCTTTAGTTCGTGTCTGGCCCGAGGAAACACCGGCAAACATTCTCCTGTGAGCCCCTCGCTCCTGGGAAGCGAGCGCTGGTTGTACCTTAGGAGCTGTTCATTTTGGTCATAGCTTCTGGCGCCTTGTTCTTCAGTACTGTGGGTTATTTAAAACACACGGAGCTAACCGCGTGCCCTTGCGTTGTGTTTGGGTTTTTTACTCGCCTTTTCCTCACGCTGGTGTGCCGAACGTGGGCTGGAAACTCGGGCTGGTTTCTCCAGGCAACCCAAGGTCTCCAACGACTTATTTATGGCTCAGGTGAAAGGAGAGATCCGGTGCTGAGTAAAATCACTCCCGTTGAAGAAGAGAGGTTAATGATGTAGATCACAACTGAGAAGTGCAGCAAACCTGCATGAAACAAAACCGGGGCTTGTTAAAGCTCATGTAGAAACACTGAGAAGCTGTTTTGTATTTAAGGGAGCAGCTCTTTATTCCTGGAATCGTTTTTATAAACCAAGAAATCTGTGGTTATGGTAACCCAAAGGCTGCAGAGCTCTGTCAACTACAGGGGAGGTGAAAAGCTGATAGTGAGGAACAGAACATTACTGTATTGTCTAACAGGGGTGCCCTGGGTTCAGCAGTAGCAGTCATGTTTCTCCTCAGTAGCTGGTGCAGTGCTGTTTTTGACTTGCAGCCTCGGAACAGCGCTGATAACACCGATGGTTTTGGTTGTTGCTCAGTAATGTTTATTCTGACCAAGGACTTTCTCAGTCTCATGCTCTGCCAGGGAGGAGGGGAAGCTGGGAGGAAGCAGAGACAAGACACCTGACCCAAACTGACCAAAGAGGTATTCCATACCACAGCATGTCATGCCCAGTATATAAACTGGGGGCAGTTACCCAGAAGGGCTAGATCACTGCTTGTGTCAGGCTGGGTGTCGGTCAGTTGGTGGGTGGTGAGCGGTTGTATTCTCTTCCCTTGTTATTTCCCTTATCATTATTACTATTGGTGGCAGCAGCAGTGATTTGTGTTATACCTTAGTTACTGGACTGTCCTTATCTCAACCCATGGGTTCTCCTTCCCATCCCTCCAGGAGCAGAGGGACAAAGTAGTGGGGGAGTGAGTGAGTGAGTGAGTGAGTGAGTGGCTGTGTGGTTCCGAGTTATCGGCTGGGCTTAAACAAGTGGCAAAAAAGAAAAGGGACAAAAAGCCCAATAATGTAGGTTTAGAATGAAACATTTTAATGGTTTGAATCTCTAGGGCTATTATAATGACTTTTCTACTGAATTTCAGGTAAATATTATTGACAGATTGAATTAATGCAATTGTTTCTTGGGTACTCCTGCTTGTTGACTTACTGAAGGAGAGGGAGCTAATATACAGGAAAAGAATGTATCAGAGGAAGAAATCAGTGTTGGTAACTATTATTTTCTCTAAGCATAATTAGCAGCAGCTGAACATGTGAATACCTTCCGCAATTTTGAAACTATATTGACAAGTAAACACATTATTTTCTGAAATATCTACAGTGAGGTACTCTGTAAACTTTCAGTCTGAGAACTATATATCCCTTTAAGGGGGGAAAAACCCAGTTTATTCTAGTAATGGCTTTCACCCTGCAAATCACTTTTCTATAATCTTATAGTCTTGAAGGTAATATTCCTGTTCAAGAAGAAATGATGAATCTGCTACCAGTAGTTGAATGCTTCAGCAGTTGGTAGGCTTTCAAAGCATGTATTTAAATTCTCCAAGAATTTATTTTTGAAGATCAATTTATAATATGTTGCAAGGACACAGCATATAGTTTAGTTAATAGAAACCCTAATCTAGGCGTATGTATATGTTGGTAAATGTAATACGAACTCAGACTTGTTAGTGGTTTCTTACTAGTAACTGTTGATACTAGTAGTAACAGCCAAAACCTTCATTGGTATGGATCTTTGCATAAGAGGAGTGAGCCTCCTGCTTTGTTTACTTTCCTTTCCTTACTCCATCATTTTTCAGAGGGAGCTATCAGGTTATATTTAATTCTCAGTATTTGTTTTCTCCATCTTTGGTTCCAGTTGGTACAACAAACTCCTCATGTATTCAAAGAATTAATGGGAAAGGTGGTAAGGGCTGGTTTTTGGATTAGAAAAATGGAGGTAGCAGCTCCTCAGTGTTCTTTCAGTGATCTGCCTCACTCCAGTCTGAGAACTGCAGTCATTCTGACACCTGAAGGGAATACTCTGCTTCTCTAGTTGTCTGAAGCAGAACATTTCCTATTTATCAGTACTGTATTTATGGAACAGAGTTGGAATCCTCATCAGCTGGTTTTACGCACCTGATTTGTCATAATTAGTAATAAATGTAATACCACCTTTACGCACGCAGACATATTTCTGAGCAACTACAGCAGTGGTTCCTTTACTCAAATAAGCTGGTGATCAAGTGTGTGTATGCTCAGTTCTGTTTCTTTCGCTACATACATTGCCTCCTTAAGTCTGTGGGTGTTCCTAACCAGCAGTTACCCGTATTTCAGATGAGCAGCTGATCTCTTTTACTGATCTTTACCTCATCTTGTCACTTTTCACAGTATCAAATTTGCGTGTAGATGGAAACAGAAAAAGAAGCAGAGAATTCTTGTTCTCTGCAGGTAAACAGTGAACAGGGATGAGGACTGGGAGTGCCCAATAATTAGACCCTACTGCCCTCTTCTTTTAACCACCAGAAGACTCTGCCTTCAGTTCTGAAACAGGTATTCCCACTGTTAGCACAAAACAAGTTAAAGCCCTGCCTTTTTGTTTGCATTTCTGTCATTTATCAAGCCATATTACCCTTTCTCATCAATCATGCCTCCTAAACTGTGAAGCTCTTTTTGGAAGCAGCATCCTGTATAGACAGGTGAGGATACAGTCTGCTGAATTGCAGCTGCAGTTCCTTACAGCACCCTTGATTTGTGTAAAGAAGTTCCAGGAATACATTTCATTACAAACACCTGAAAAAGACTAAATAGGAATCCCAGGGCTTGCAATCTGTGGTTGTTTTCAGTCACACTGAATTTGCATAAAGAATTTCACTTGTCCCTCCAGAAGGTGAAATGAGAATCACAGCATACTTTCCTTGGTGTTGAGCTGGATTCTTCAGCATCCTGAACAGGTGTCATGAGTTCTACAAAGTTGTTAGGAAAACACCCTTTAAATAATATATTTAACCTATGATTTTTAGCCTTATTTAGAATACACTTTTAAAAGCCCATTTGAAATATAACAGTTTCATATAATGGACCTTTAATGGTACTGAAACTTTTTCCCTCATAATAATAATGGCATTTGTTTTGAGCTGGTTTAGGGCAGAGTGTAGTAAGTGACTAGCATCTTTACAGGGTCTTTCTGAGACAAGTTTTAATTAAAATTGTAACAATCTATAATAATTAATTTTAATTGCTAGTAATGCAGAAGGAGTAAGACCAGTTTTCATAGTACAGCAGTGATTAGTTAAAGCCTGGTCATTCCAAAGTGGTTTGGGCCTGTAGAAAATTTGACTGCAAGTATGAAGGGATAAATGAACAGCTATAAGGTAAATATGAAAAGAGCAGCTACTTACTCTGAGTCTAAAACAGTCTTTTACTCAGAAAGAAGCAGCAAAAATACTTCTGGATGTTCCTGTCCTCAGACCAACTGTTGTATTGTCCTGATGGGATGTTCTTCCTCTTTCTAGTTCCTCACAAACATCTGCCTCTTTCTCCTGATATGTATTCACAGCTACTTTTGTTTTCTTTATGATTCTTTCCTTAGTACAAACTGGCAAATCTAAGATGCTTTTGTGATTGACAATCCAGAAATTTTGCACAAACTAATCTGCATTTTTCTCTGTATTGTTGTGGAACAATTCCCTGGGAAGCAGAATGCATTGTTCAGAAAAGCAAAACGAAATTCCTTTTGCTGTGGCATTGTTAATGAGAGAAAACACTTTTACAGAGATTGCTACTGGAAATTCTGTGAAATATTAATACACGCAGGTGGTTGTGCTTGTGAATAGCCAAGTGTTTTGTGGGATAAACTGCTTCACCTGAAGAATGTGTGTTATGTAGTCTCTTTGCTTTCGCCTAGAGGTGCTGATTTGTGTATAGATGAATTCTCTTGTTCTGCAAGAGTGGGGAGGCACAGCTGAGGGTGAAAGTCCTCCTTCTGACATGAATTCCTTCATTAGAAATTAATTAATGTAAAAAGTGTATGTGAGTTTAAAAAGATGTTGCTCACCGGAGGCTTTTTATTATGCAATCTGCCCTCAGCATCTTAGCCCAAACTGCCATAAATGTGTTGATCGTTAAGGTATGTGTTGAGACTCATTTGTTTACTAAAACTTGCTGGAGGCTTAGGCACAGTCATGTCGAAAGACATGTTTGAATTTAGAATTCTGCTTAAACCCTGAAATCTACTCTCCTTTCAGAGTAACTCCGCAGCTGATGATGGTTTTATTTTAGCTAAAATGTTTTAGAGGCCAAGATTAAATCTTCAATTTTATGAGAAAACACTGGGGAGGGGAAAAGGTATCAAAGTGTATAATCATAGTAAATGCAGTTAACAGCCATCCAGGAACACAGCAGGCTGCAATTAGTAGCAAGTTGAAAAACTGCCAGGCTTTGAGAGGGACAGTTTGAAATAATAATAATTAAAAGGGAAAAAAAAGAGAAGTAGTGCTATTTCTTTTCCATGTAACATAGGCTTTGAAATAGAAATTGAAAGTTACTGGATGTTTTGCTGGTGCTTGGTGTGGAGTGAGGGTTGTTTTGGGTTTTTTGTTTTGGCTCAGTGCTGGAAGTCTGGAGCAACAATAGGACTAT